GCCCACCACAGGTATCGAAACCTGGTTTCTAGTGTTGTAAGTCCGCAGACATACCGCTGTGCCACTGGGGGGCTTGTTTGTTGGAAGTTAAGCACAAAGATACACAATGGGCTATCTGTGCTTTGCCCACCACAGGTATCGAAACCCGGTTTCTAGTGTTGTAAGTCCGCAGACATACCGCTGTGCTACTGGGGGGCTAATTATTAGGAAATCAGAGAACCATTAAATACATTACAATTCCCTCTTCCATCAAAATTAATTTTAGCAATTTCTTTATTGGAGATTAATATTATAGCATTTATAATACACGAGATTATTTTATTACAAAACTATTTTTGAATAAAAAAACAAAAACGGTTAAAAGTAGGAACCACTTACAGTCATATACAGTATACTGATACGTTATATTTAAACGATTTTGGAACCTCACCACGTCATTACAGCCCATGTCGCCACGTCCGGTCGTGCTCTGTCTGACGAATATGCATCTTAACAATGACCCTGCAGGGTAGTTTCCATTGCTAAAGATTCCGTCGTAAGTCCATCATACCCGAAGCACACCACTACTCCCTGCAAGCTTTCCATAATTCGTCAAGTGTATGAGGACGACAGCTTCCAAGCGCCCATTTAAAAAGTTCAATCACACAGAAATCCATAAGTGCTACGTCAGACGACTTGACCGATATGTCGTCACATGGGATAGCATAAATACTCGTTTTATTGTCCTGCTGTTTGAGTTGTGTGACGGTTGAACTGGTGGTAATTAGAACCCTTATCTTTGTGAACTCACACCGTGTTTCTAGAGGAAAATCCTTCTTGAATATGTTACTTTGGGGAAAATGGACGGCTTTTGCCAATGACCGTTGTGTTGGCAAATTCTCACCTGTTACAAGACGTCGCACTTTGCTTAATATGACATTGGGGTATGACTTGATGCAGGTCTATTTTTCGGATTTTTTCCAATGTCATTAAGAACAAGGAACATCCACCTTCGGAAGATCAAATCCCCCGATTTGAAAACATCTTTATAATCTGAGTATATTAATTACTTGAACCAGAAACGACTGTTAGAGAGCCTTCTCAAAAGTTATCAATTTGGCAACATTCTGATACATCCCGTTCGACCACGACTTTATATCGTCGTCACGCAACTTGTTGATTTGCATGTTCAAAATCATTTTAATGTAACGTACTCAACCCTGATAAAAGTGTTTTAATGTAACGTACTCAACCCTGATAAAAGTGTTTTAATGTAACGTACTCAACCCTGATAAAATCGTTTTAATGTAACGTACTCAACCCTGATAAAAGTGTTTTAATGTAACGTACTCAACCCTGATAAAAGTGTTTTAATAATAAGTCTGAAACCTTTAATCATCAAATAAAGCTGGCCAACAAACTGTCGTACCAAGATTTAAATAATGATAGCCGTTCCTAACTTTGAAGTGATATATTATAAATAAGGTAAACTACACAACAACACCCACCGACAACTCTTGGACCATTATCTACGAACGAATTGGGAGTTGACCGTCACATTATAAAGCTTCACTGAAAGGGCGAGCATGTTCGGTGACTGGTTTAAACCCCAGTCGAGTACCTTAATCGCCCGGTCATCCATCGCAAACGAGTACTTGTTAACGCATTGATGTTAGCCAGAAGTTTTGTTGAGACCTAGAATCTGGGAGAAGTATTCTTACGTATGTTTTTAATTGCCATATATTTTTTATTATTCCAGCATCCGTATTTTTGAGTGGTATTCAGCTTGTTTTCGTTTTGTTCAAGTTGTTGTAAATTGTTTTTCATCATTTACTATGGCAAGCAGAAGTGTGCAGTATTTTTAACCAGCCATAAGATTACACACCAAGGTAACTTTTACGTCTCGGTTATCTTTTCATATTGGAAATAAGCAATGCCATTCTGAATTGCGTTTTCTTACCACCAGGGCTGGAGCTATATAGTTTTGTTTTGTAAATTGGTTTCCGTAACGTCTTAGAATAAAAAAAAAGGGGGGGGGGAGGAGTACCAAGTTAAAAGAACAGTCGTAACACTGTAGGACGTTATGTTGTGACGTAGAATACAATCAATTCTTTGAATTGATAACACTCGAGCATTGGCTTGCAATCTGAAGGTCGCGGGTTCGAATCCCATCCTCGAACATGTTCACCATTTAAACCGTGCAGGTGTTATAATGTCACAGTCAATCCCACTATTCGTTGGTAAAGAGTAGCCCAAGAGTTGGTGGTGGTTGCTTTTGACTGTTTGCCTTCCTTCTGATATATTAGGGACAGCTAGAGCAGATAGTGTTCGAGTATCTTTGCGAGAAATTCAAAACAAACAAACAAATAAAACTTGATGTTAGTCCTACGCGGTCGCTGTACGAGTCATAATTATTATCAGAAATACCATAGTAACATTCCTGGGACGTAACCTAGCAACAGTCTCCTATTATGATTCACAATAAGCATCATACAACTCATTTCCACGACGTTCCTAGGATGTAACAGTTGGCTGCTAACTACATTGTCACTTGTTTAGTATATTAGAAACCGTAATCTTAATAACTTAGCTTTCTGTCGAAAGAGACGTTACGTTTTCTTAGTAAGGATCGCGAGTTTGTTTAAAATTATTCGACCATTCTAAATCTGTCGTTCATTCAGAATTTCGCAGAACTGAGATCTTACAAACGATGTTATAACTCAGAATTTTATGAGATTTTTGACAGTTTCATGTAATCCACACCGTATCAAGCTTTGAAATAAGCGTACATAATTATAAACTAGGCTTCAAAGACCCTGAATATGTATAGCTCATCAGTAACGCCCCCTGCAGGCGTCATTAAGACGCCGTATTCTAGACAGCTCTCGTGATTTTACTTTAGATGATAATGTGCTAACTAGAGTAGCCAACGAAGGCGAGACAGCCCAGTCAATTGTGAGCAAACTCTCGAAAATGTTGTCAAGGCATTGATTAACACTTCCGAGTGGAAAGATTGGTGCACGGTGGCACGTGATTTATCATTAAATTTAACACTTCATGGTTACTATCCACAGTGTCCTTAACTCACTTTAACCGTCATAAGACGTCTTTTCTTAACACTGTGAAAATGTTGCTTGTGTAGGAAAGCATATTATGCTGACATAGTAATTTGTTTGTTTTAGGCTATCTGCTGTGTTCACCGCGAGGAATCGAGCTCCGGATTCTAGCGCCGTAAGTCCGTATACTTACCGCTGTCCCACCGGGGGACAACGTCGTAGTAAGTTAGCGAACTTTGACTTGTAAGCACACTATCCTTAGATACTGACTGTCGAGTTATCTAGCATGTTGGCTACTATACATATCGTTGTGATAACAGATCGTTTTTAACACAGGCTGAACAAGATAAAACCAACTTAATGAACAGTTATCGGAGATCGAACAAGCTTAAAATTCGCGTGCACAGTAACCACGTGGTTTATCAACCTATGACGTCTTGTCAGTATCCTAACAACTCTGACCTCTGATATTCCACTGATCTGGTGCGATATTTATCAAGAATATGAAAATTACACAACAACATGCCATCAAGGATAGAAACCTTGAAAACGTACATTTATTTATTAAGTTATATAGTTTACTGAACGTCCATATGTGACGAACCATCCAAGTTATTTAATCCTTACATTATACACCCATTCTGTTACTTCCCTCTGAGTGTATTGTAATTAATTAGAAATAAGTTTGTCCAGTATATTAGCGGCCACTTACCTTCTTGTACGCGACCCGGTATACACAATTCTGCAATAAACTGACGAGCCCCTGCAAGCACGTGATTGAAAACTTTTTGTTGTGTCTGGGTGAAGCATCTCTCCTTGTGGCTGTCAAAACACCGGACACTCTCCCTCAGCCTTCTATAAAAAACCCACAGAGTTAATGACGTTCTTACTAAAGTCGAACGACGTTTTATTCATAGATTTGAAAGTCTCGACAATTCTCATTGTTACTCAGTATTTCAGGAAAAAATAAATCCTTTCAGAGACCTCAGCGACATTTTCTTTGGCACAACTAAACATCAGATAATCAATGGGCAACAGATAGGATAAAGTAACGTTATAACAGTTAACGTGAACTCACAAGATTACCGTGACGTAATAACGGTTAATATGAATTGATAAGATTACTGTGACGTCACGAGAGTTAGTGTGAATTGACAATATTACCGTGACGTCACGACAGTTAGTGTGAATTCACGAGATTACCGTGACGTAATAACGGTTAATATGAATTGATAAGATTACTGTGACGTCACGAGAGTTAGTGTGAATCGACAATATTACCGTGACGTCACGACAGTTAGTGTGAATTGACAAGATTACCGTGACGTCACGAGAGTTAGTGTGAAGTAACAAGATTACCGTGACGTATCAAGACTTATAGCATGAACTGAAAGTTGAAAACCTTTAACAAATACTGATAGTTTTGGAAGTGCAACTACAGCAAAGTTTTAAATGAACAACAAAATTAATCTTAATAGAAAAACAAAATTCCGGAGAACTTGTATATAAGAAGATATTACATAAAGGTAATTACAATAAATGTGTTGTGGAAACCTACAAATGTAGTCTTCCGCCTTTCGTCTTCAGGTATTATGAATTCTCTGCCTAAACCTAAGTTAATTTATCCACCCGAATCCTATCTTTTGCCCACGGTCGACTAAGCGGCCAAGCCAGACTCCTGTGGTTTAGGCATAGCTGTTAGTAATTTTTAACAGTGGACCAGAGTGAAAGGCAACAAGTCGGCAACACCTGCCGCAATCTTTGGTTAAAGTTGGCTACCATAGGCGCGTTTTTTTCCCGAAAGTTCTATTTTTTCTCAACCCAAATAAACACCCGATAAACGAGGAAATTAACAATATTTCCCCATGTTTAAAACCACCAACTTTGACACAGTAACTTATGCGGTTTCAACCTGAACGACACCTTATACTTACAAGTACTAAAGAGCAGGTAAATCCGTCCTTACTTTTAAACTACTGAGCAGACGGAAGGCAATTAGTCAGCAGTACCAACCGCCACAAGGCCTTCGTCTGTGAACGAATAACAGGATTGATTGCCACTCTTATAACACACGAACAGCTGAAAATCCGAAGCGTGTTCAGTAGTGTGAACGTTGGACCTTCCATTACGCAGCCCGGCATAAAATGTGAGTAAACAAAGGTAGATTTCATGAAGTTTTAAATACATTCCCTATAAATCATTGCTAAGATATGATCAATAAAAACAGACAACTAATTACCTAGTATAAAAATCGTGTAACAGTTTTTTAAAATATATTTATATATAACTGACGACAATAAAAGTCAATTTTTGGGGGTGGTACGTGCACTGACTTAAATGGAGTTAATCCGATTTACGCACGATGTATTTTCATTAACACTTCCACGATAATTTACATGGGTAGTCAGTAATCAATTTCTTGGGTGTCAATTCCAACAACCTCGCCCGGTTTAACAGAAGACGTCGACTGTCCAATTACAAGGCTCCCTTTAGTAAGGACATCATCCGAACCAGGTCCACTATAACTTATCCTCACGTTAGTTTGCATACAAAATGAAAATACTATGCAACCATCTTCGTTAAGTCTGTCGTATCAAGTAGTTACCGTTTACAAAATCAAGATACATGTATATATATATATATACACACACACACCGTTTCCAACCAACTTTCAAATTCAGCGGGGAGTAGAATCTGAGTACATGTTTGGTTTGGCTGTTGTTGAGCTCAAAGCTACACGTTACGCTATCTGGGCTCTGTCCACCACGGGTATCGAACCCAGAATTTTAGCGTCGTAAAGCCTGTAGGCTTCCCGCTGAGCCACTGGAGGGCGCGTTACGTGCACGTTTTGGGTTTGGCTGTTGTTGAGCTCAAAGTTACGCGTTACGCTATCTGGGCTCTGTCCAACACGGGTATCGAACCCAGAATTTTAGCATCGTACAGCCCACAGGCTTTCCGCTGAGCCACTGGAGGGCGCGTTACGTGTTTTTGCAGTTACTCAATGGAGGCTTAATTACCTAAAGAAGTAAAAAACGTACATATTTTTTTTTAAGTATTTGGTCTCCGTGGTCGAGAGTAAAAATATAAGTAAAAAAACAACTTAACTATGTCGCGCTATGGGACACACTATATAACGTCTGTTTCTAGTCGTCGAAAGTCAACTTAAAGAATCATAAGTGTGACGTACGTATTTGAAAATGTTGGAAATGAAGCACGAATAATTATTTTACTTAATAACCTGTTTGTTTGTTTTTAATTAAGCTCAAAGCTACACAATGGGCTATCGAAACCCGGATTCTAGCGTTGTAAGTCCGCAGATATGCCGCTGTGCTACTGGGAGGGGGGGGGGCTTAATAACCTGAGAAAACAATGATTTTTGTAATATTTCACAAGTTTCAAAATAGAATGCGAAGGTGATTCAAGGAAAAATGATCCCCCTGGTGGTAGGATAACAGTAAGCTCACAGACTGACAACGCTAAAATCCGGGGGTCGATTCGCCGCCCCGGACACAATAGATGGCCTCAATATGGCTTTGCTTAAAAACAAACAAAACTTGTATTTGAGTATGGTTGTTTTTAAGTTTGGTTTGTTATGAATTTCGCGCAAAGCTACACGAGGGCTATCTGCGCTACCCGTACCTAATTTAGCAGTGTAAGACTAGAGGGAAGGCAACTAGTCATCACCACCCACCGCCAACTCTTGGGTCTTGGGGCTACTCTTTTACCATTGAATAGTGGAACTGACCGTCACATTATAACGCCCCAACGGCTAAAAGGGCGAGCGTGTTTGGTGTGACGGGGATTCGACCCTGCGACCCTCAGATTGGGAGTCGAGCGCCCTAACCACCTGGCCATGCCGGGCCTGGTTGTTTAAGCCTATCGGTACAACAGGTTGACAAAACCTCACTCAGTAAGTTATAAGATTACCTGTCAAAAACCCGGATGTTGTTATGGCAAGCGAGATAAAAGTAATTGTACAACAACACATGTTTCTCTAAAAAACAGGAACAGTTATTTATCTACAGATGTGGCAGCTTTTGTGGTATGGGGCGGGGTTTGTGAGAGAGTGGTGTATATATTGTATTAGACAAGTTGTGTTTACAGTTCTGTAAAAATTCAATTACTCAACCACATATCAGTTACCACCGGGTTTCTCTGGTTTAAGAAGATGTTTGTTATTATTTTGTACAGATTTTGAAAGCACCTGCTAACTGGTTTTCTTCGTTTATAACATTTTATATTACAGTCTTCATTACAGTGCTTATCAGTCTTCATTACAACAACTTCCTAATGCTGCTCAGTCTTCATTACAACAACTTACTAATCTTTATCAGTCTTCATTACAACAACTTCCTAACATTTAGTAGTCTTTATTACAACAACTTCCTAATGTTGCTCAGTCTTCATTACAACAACTTCCTAATCTTTATCAGTCTTCATTACAACAACTTCCTAATGTTGCTCAGTCTTCATTATAACAAGTTACTAATCTTTATCAGTCTTCATTACAAAACTTCCTAGCATTTAGTAGTCTTCATTACAACTTCCTAATGTTGCTCAGTCTTCATTACAACAACTTACTAATCTTTATCAGTCTTCATTACAACAACTTCCTAACATTTAGTAGTCTTCATTACAACAACTTCCTAATGTTGCTCAGTCTTCATTACAACAACTTCCTAATGTTTCTCAGTCTTCATCACAACAACTTCCTAATCTTTATCAGTCTTCATTACAACAACTTCCTAATGTTGCTCAGTCTTCATTACAACAACTTCCTAATCTGTATCAGTCTTCATTACAACCACTTCCTAATGTTGCCCAGTCTTCAATACAATCACTTCATTTACCTAACGTTTCTAACCCCAGTTCTTTTCTTGTTCAAACAACAACCACTCACCCACACCCTGCCTCCAACTCTTGCATGGTGGTAGCGAAGACAAGATCCTGGTTCTGGGTGACCGACTGAAGAGAACTTAAACATTGCTGAAACTTCTGAACTGTACATGTCTGGTCTGGAAAAGAACCACAATTGTCATTAGACATGTAACATGTTACATGACTAACAGACAGTAGACATACAATATACACACAACTAATATACAGCCAACATGTAACATGACTAACAGACAGTAGACATACAATATACACACAACTAATATACAGCCAACATGTAATATGACTAACAGACAGTAGACATACAATACACACAACTAATATCCAGGCAACGTGTAACATGACTAACAGACAGTAGACATACAATACACACAACTAATATACAGCACCAACATGTAACATGATTAAAAGACAGTAGACATACAATACACACAACTAATATACAGCCAACATGTAACATGACTAACAGACAGTAGACATACAATATACACAACTAATATACAGCCAACGTGTAACATGACTAACAGACAGTAGATATACAATACACACAACTAATATACAGCCAACATGTAACATGACTAACAGACGGTAAACGTATTACATGCCAACATTCTGGCCTCACTGTTCGTAAAATATATATATATATCCACACATAAAATTTGAACTAGTTATGTAAAATTAAGCTATTTAATATACTGATGAAAAGTGAAAAATGGAAACAGTTTATCTATTCTCATACTTTATCTTTTAAAAACAATATTTTATTTATCATTCCACTCTAAACTAGAGGGAATCCTCAATAGCCGCGGCACTTGAAATTCTTTTAGACAGGATTAGAGTAAAACAATCAACGACACCTCGGTCGTGATCAAATACATCAGTCGAAATTAGATCTCAACTCGGTCAAGAGATGACGGAGCTATAAGCTAAAAGTTTGTACTTGAAAAATAGAAAATAAAAATCTAAGAGCTAAAAATATACACAACACGAGCGTCCTCTGTTGTTATTTGTATGTATATCATTAATTACTTGATGTGAAAAAGTTATGCCATACCCCCCAAATTCAAACATACAATATTTATTGATTTGGTTTCTCATAACTCTGCAATGGTAATATTATACGTGCAAAGAAATGCTCTACTTTACAGAACTGGCCAAATTCTTCATTTTTACGACGCTTGTATCAAGTCGAAACGTAACAACAGTTAGAAAATTAGCTATCGATGCGCGCGTGTGTGTGTGTAAACGGCTCTTATCGAAAGCCATCTCGACTGGATATTGTTTACCTGGACTTATAACTTACCAGAACTTTAAATTAAACAGAGACTCTTGTGAACGAAAATGTGATCAATACCCTGCTTTGTTCCACACTAAGAAACAGCCAACTAACTATAAGGAAAGCTCTCCCACTTATGAACAATATATAATTAGTCAAATATTCAGTACTTGGAACACAATGAGGGACACTTCGATTTTATTTTTCTGCGTATAATATTGACAGCAATTATTAATTATCAAATAAAATGATGTGCGTCTCTTAATTAGTCTTTGTGAGAACGAATTTTAACAAAAGAGCGAAATTGTGTATCTATAATCAATGAACAGCGCCCTCTGTTTGAGTTCATTTCAAGCTAAGTATCCATACCTTAATATGCTATTGTTTTCCTTTCCTTTATTTCTTGTTAGATGAAATATAAATAGCTGTATCTGATTTTTGATATCTGAGGTTTGTTTATTCGGTAATTAATGATAGCGCCATCTGTTGAGCACATGAAAATAATTGAATGAACTTATAATCAATATTAAAACTGTAATTTAATAGTGTCATCTTATGTATAAAAGTAAGGTTTAAATAATTAACGTTTAATTTTTACTGCTCGAAGTAGCTGTAATTTGGTTCGACGTACATAGTGATATTTGTTTTATATCAAACTTGACGGGACTTTTATTATGGAGTGTTATAACCAACATAAATCAATCAGTGATTAAAACAAGAAAAAGAAGTGAAAACTTTGTCTGTGCATGCACCCACAAAAACTTTTGATAAGTAGGCTTAACTGTTATCTCTAGTGATTGGTGATCATTGAGTTTCTGAAGGCAAAAACAAAACTAAAACCCAATAAAGTTATCGATACTTTGGCTACAGTTTCTGGAACAAAAACATACAGTGAGGAGAAAACAGCAAACTTTACTGTAGTTATGTGTTAAAAATTATCATATTTTCTCAATACCCTCAATGTGAACGATTAATCTAAGAAATTATAACTCATTGACTCGTCCTTTGCGTTTTATTGCGATCATTGGTTATTTATTCAAAGTACAAAAAACTTCTGAAACTTGAATTTAAATCAGTTAAATGAATAAATCATCCTATTCAAACTACGATGTTCTGTAAACCCCCCCCCCCCCCAACGTATTTAGACATTTCAGTCTGTTCACACTAATGATTCTAAACACCAATGGATTACAATGATTTTTTTTTTTAGTTTGTGATACAAGTTTATAAGTTATCAAACATGAGTTAATCGGGTCTTAGGAATAAAAAAAGGACCCGATTCAGTTGCACAGCAAATAAACCTTGGGGTTTGGGGTGGCACCACTCGTAAAAATATAGTTTTTCGAAGAAAGAAAGAAACAAAGTTTTAACGTGCTTAGTGTTAAATGCGATAGTGATACAACCTTTGTAGTTTTTACGTTTACTGTATTTGTTACAATAAACAAAACAAATGGAGCTTATAAGAATCACGAGAAAGCGCCGTCTAAAGGAAAAAAGATGTAACACATTTAAATTATCAAATAAATCATCCCATTAAACTGTATCCATGTGTTCGAAGGAAAACGAAGTTTGATAATAAACAAGATTACGACATTTAAGATATAACATTGTTTATTAACAAAAAGAGGACATAGATAAACGTTTCGGAATTCTATCAGATTCGATCTTCAGTAGTTAGATACTGAAGATGGAATCTCATAGAATTCCGAAACGTTCATCTATGTCCCCTTTTTGTAGTAAGATACTGAAGATGGAATCCGATAGAATTCCGAAACGTTTATCTATGTCCCCTTTTTGTAGTAAGATACTGAAGATGGAATTTGATAGAATTCCGAAACGTTTATCTATGTCCCCTTTTTGTAGTAAGATACTGAAGATGGAATTTGATAGAATTCCGAAACGT